GGGGGCGGCTGGGAGCGGGCCATGGCCGCCTCACAGCGCAGCGCCCGGCGGCCAGCGCCGCCCAGACCCGCCCTGGCCCGCCCCTACGAGTCGTTCTTGATTCAGGTTTCAGCCGTGCGTCGAGCTTCTTCCCGGTGGTAAAGTCAGACGCTGTAAATCACCGGTCAGCAACGGTGTTTGGGTTAAAAGACGACGGAACGGCTGTCTTCCGTGAGGTTTTTGTTTGGATTGGTTTAGGTTTTGAAGCTTTTCTTTGAGGAGGCTGTTGGGATGGACCTGTTAGTACGCTTCATTTTAAACTCTTTTATGATTTAGGCATATAAGATACTAGTTATTGGCCCCCCGCTATGTTCTTCCAAATGGAGATGGAAGATTGTGCAGGACCGAAAAAAGGGAAGGTAGCTCGTCACCTGTGGAAACCCCACGTTAAGCTTCTGGGTTGTTTTGGTCAGTTTGTAAAAGCCCTTGTTTCAGACGGGGCAGATGCAGTCCCCCCGCGCTGCGCGGCAGGCCCTGCTTCCCTCCGCACTCGGGCTGCCCCTGCTGGGGAGCAAGGTGCTAAAACGGGGCCTGCCAATATCTGATGGGGGCTCAAAGTGCTGCGGCCAAAGTCAGGTCTTAAGAAATTGGCCAGTGGATGAAGATGCTATGGATCTTTAACCTGTAGTCTGGAGAGAATGGGTGTAAAGCCCTTGTGAGCTCCGTGTATTCAGAGTCGCTGGTGTGGCCAGAGGTTAACAGAAGAACAGCTTATGGGAAGGAATGAGGATTGAAGTTCGGTCATGGAGGGGAGTTTGGGCAAGAGCTGGTAGGGATGGGGCCTCACTGCATGGGGGAGAGGTGGCAGGCCATAGGAGATGGTCTGATGAAGTGTAAGTGATGTTGCTCCTGTGAGAAGGGGCAGCAACCATGGTGAGCAATGCTTTCTGAAGAACCTTGTCAGTAGCCTCTTCAGCTGCTTTCAGCATTGCCTTGTGGTCGTCCTCCATGTCTCCTCCCAGAAGAAATTAAAATCTCCTTTTCATTCCTAGGCAGAGCCAGTTGCCAGACTCCCCACCAGACTCTGGATCAGAACCATGTTCTCCACCACAGCTCCAAAGTAGGTCACATGAATTCTGCCTCTCTCAAGCTTGTAGGAAGTTCTCAAGCTCCTTTTCTTTCTCCTTACTTTCTTCTCTGTTTACTTCTTGCAGCCACATGGTATGACACTACGTGGCCCAGTGGGCTGCAGCCTCCACTCCCATGCCCATCTGCTGTGGCCCCCAGCAAGATTCCGTGCAGGTTCATGGAGACTTACTCTGACCCCAGTGCTGGTGGGCATCCCTGCACCACTCCCCAAGGCTGTTGTCTGAAGACAGAAAATGCTGTGGCTCCTTGGAATCATTCTACATCCTCCAGCTGTTTGGGTTTTAATTATTCATACTTTCAGCCAAATGCATCTCAGATTTCTAGGTAAATGATAAAGCTTTTATGCAAAGGATGAGACAGATATATAAAAAAAAAAAGTAGAGCTGGTAGAAGATGTGGTTTAAGACTGGTGTAAAATCCCCGTGAGTGTAGGGTTTTCCACAGGATGGCAGTGTTTAGACATTTTTGAGACATTTGTGGTTGTGGGTTCTTTAAACATCTTGATTGAAGTTCAGATTGGAAGTAGGAATGGATTTCAATCTTTAAAATGTTACAAGGCTAAGGAGGAATAAACAGCTGCATCATAATGGGATTATAAAAATAGGCGTTTTGCAATACCTATTGTAGGGATTTGTCCATAAGGATCTTGTAAGTGTTCTGACAAGTGACATGAGAGAAAAAAAAAATTGTCATATCTATGTAAGCAAGTGAAATGGTATTCATATACCATCTGCCATATTCACCCACCAGCATGTTGTGGATGCTTAATTATTTAAAATACACTGGCTAGTGCAAGTATCCAACCATGATACCTAGTAAGAATGAACTGCCTGATGCATGCCAGAGGGGTACCTCCCTGGTTATGCAGAGATAAAAGTGAATTCACCAGTGTCAGCCCGGGGCTTGCAGATGCTCTGTCTCCTGTACAGAGCTCAATTATGTGTTACGTGTGATTTGGGGAAGGAAGCTGGTCCTGGGTTTCTCAGTGGAGCTATTTGTGTTCTTTGTTTGTTTGGCAGTAGAAGGTGCCAGTTAATGAAAAGCATATTATTTTCTGAGGGAATACTTTGGTTATTGGAATTTAAGGCACAGAATACTTCTTGACCAAACGTGGAACTTTGGAACAAACCCAGAAAAAGAATAACAGTCAACATGGTGGCAAGACTTTTCTGCTCGTGGAGAAACCTTAGTTTGAGTACCTACTGGGCCTGACTGAGACCTGGAGTTTCGCTTGTTTTTTTGCCCATTCAGGAGTGGCCATCTGTGAGGATATTCTAGTTTAGATTTTATAATAGCAAAACTTTGGAACAAGGTTTTTTCCCTTTGCACAAAGGAGCATTTTTTTGAAGCCTCACTTTCTGGGAAAGGGGAAAACAGTTGTCCCTTGAGATCTAATGCATTAGTTTAACTGCTACTAGTGTTTTCTGTATAAGAAGGAAAGTGAGTTCATGCTGTTGCAGAACAATTATTCAAGATAAAGCTGTGATTTTAGTGTAAATGTCAGGAAACAATAAAACCCTGCTGCTTATGCACTGTGTAAATTTTTAAAAAAAGATCGACTTCTCTATTTGTATGAAATAAAAAACCAAACTCATTTATGTTTTGGAAGGAAAATTTGCATAATTCAGTTTTAAAAAGCCAACAACAATTTATTCCCCCTGGCAAATCAGAATTTGGATGACAATACAGTTAGGATGAGATACCTTGGTGTTCTCTGACTCTGAAATACCTGTATTTAAACTTATAAATGAGTAATTCAATGTGTGTTTTTAAAAAAGTATTTCTGCAGCATCAGGAAAAAAAAGGAAGCTCTCACAATTAATGGGAGATGCCACTGATTCTCCAGTTCAGTCTCAGGACTCCAGACAAGGTAAGCAACTGTGTGAAGATGAAATTTAGTGTTTCATGCCATAGACAAGTAAATATTTTAAGAGCACAGCTCCTGCTGGCTCTGCAAAGGTAGTGGTATTAACAGTCTTACTCCACTGCCAGGTTTGGAGGAATTTACCTTTTCAGTGTTTTTGAAAACCGGGACCTATTTATATTTGGTGAAGAGAGAAGAAGCGTTAGAGGTACATATTTCCTGAGGACTTTCTGGACAAAATATTCTGCCCTTCTCCACGTATAAGCCTACAGTACACAGATGATACCATACTCTGCTGACTTTGCTTGGTGCTAAGTTGGGTGGGCAAAGAAACCATCTTGAGTCAGCTTAACGGGGAATTAATGTGGTGGATGAGCAAACAGATTGCACTTTCCCTTTATCATCTCAACTCCGTTTTTCTTCTACAAAGTGTATCTATGTGCAAGCTTGGTGAAAGCTGTGTGTTCTTCCCCACCCCTTCCCCAAATTAATTTGGTTCATTGTTTTATCAAGATAAAAATGCTAAGCTTATACCAGTTGATAGAAAAATAGCTTATCAGGCATATACAGAAATGGATCAGCTTCTGTGAAGTGTGAGGCTCTCTGTGAATGAACAGTTTGTAATGAACAGTTTATCTGAGGAATTTCACCCTTGTCTGTTAGTGCAAAATCTGACAGTTGCCTGTTATTTCTTCAGAGTAAGTTATTTTTCAACATTAAATCAATCTTTTAGAAATCTTTTAATGAGTAGTATACTGGATTTAGTAGGTTACTTTTCCTTTGGTTTCTTTTATTTGATCAGTGTTGCTTGATTGTGAATACTCCTCTGTCTACTGCTGGAAAGAGAGGATGAGCAGATGCTTCTGTATCTAAAATTGCTATTGCTGTTTTTAATATGTAAAGCTTTGAAATATGCTTTCCTTGGGAGTCACTGTTAATAAAATCACACTGACACACATGCTATTGGAAAAAGAATACAGCCATTGGTTAAAGTGGCATGAGGATCATTTAGAAATGAGGTGTGAATTTCTTCACTGTGTTTTTTTTCTTATATTTTCACTCTGCTGTATGTCAGAAGTGGGGAATTGCAAACGAAGCTTGGGCCTGGAATGGTTCTGTAGGCTCTGTCTTACTGTGCTGTCTCTGGCTGTGGACAGATCTTAGCTTATATGCTCAATGACATATTTTTTCCTGTCCTTACTGTATCTCATTTATCTCTGTCTCTTATCACGTTCTCATCTGTCTTCACAAAATGTATAATATCTCAGAAAGCATTAACCAGTCAACCAGATGTAGTGATGAATGTGCTTGCTATTCAAAAACTGTGCCTCCTGCTCTGGAATGAAGTACCTGTTGCAGTGAGTTGGAGTATATTCAATTTAAACCTGTAGTAGAGAGAATGGGAAACATATGTAATTATTTTGCTTAATTGCTTCTTGTGGTGTTGCAGATTTACAATAAAATGCTTAGCTTCCCCCCCCGAAGGAAACCATCCTTTTGGAGAGAATAAAAATAGGAAGTGCTACTTGTACAATATTTTGCAAATCAGGAAAGCTGAAAAATTTATGTTCTAGGGCAAGGAAATATAACACAATCTTTTGGAATAACTGCAAAGGGCAATAAGATTTAAATATATATGCAATATATTTGTGCTTTATATGTATGTATATATATTTGAATATATTTATAAAAATGTTTATGCAGGATTTTTGGCTAGTCACAAAAGTAATAACTGAATTGTCACTATCTCTCTACAGCAACTGTTAAGGACTACGCAGCTGAAGTGCAAGAATATGACAGTGATGGACAGAATGCAGCTTTGGAAAAATGCTGTCAAGCTCTAACATGGCAACCATATCAAACTTCTCAGTGGAACAGCTTACTTAACTCTAGTTATGAAAAACTGTAAGCACTGTTGTTTGCATTTGGGAAAAGTGGTTTCTTGGGATTTTCTTTTCTGCTGGTATTGTAGTTTTATAGGAATAAATTATACACTTGGGATCACTTGTTCTTACTGAAAATAAGTCTGGAGAAGGAAGTGTAGCAGGCATGATGGAATATGAATCTGCAGACGTATCAGATAAGCAGAACTTTAAACACTGGTTAAAATTCATGCCAGTTTTTCTGATTTCCCTTCAGGGATTTAGGGGCAAAAGAAAAATGAGTTTAACTTAAAATACCTGTTAATTTTTGTTTATTTTGTCAAGCACATTGGCGCAAGTAATTACTGAAGATGTGGCATCTTCCCCTCTAATGGCCTAAAACAGTAAAGAAAAATTGAAATAGAACATAACTGTATTACTTCTGGGCTCATATAACATTAATAGTCTTAACAACTATAGACATATATCTATGACGTGTAACAGTTTAGTCAAAGATTCAGAGTTTTCCTGTATAAATCAGAACTGTAAATAATTTTTTTGGCACGTGACCTGGCAAAGGATGTTCCAAGGTCACTTTACATCACTGTTTTTTTCCATTCTAGTATTTAGGGAATGATCTCTTTTAACAAAAGTCCTTTTACAGTGTTGTTTATTCCCCAGGATTAGTGCAAACAATTTGTAACTGTCTCCACAGAACTTACATAGCATAGTAAATTTAAATTTTTTCTCTAGCCCAACCTGCTAAAAGCACTCGTGGAAGTTTGGAGTGTATCAGTGTCATTGCTGGACACTGATGTTCCTTATTTCTGCACAGCATGGTAGGGGCAATACACATCTTACTGTATCCCCCGCAACCCTTCCCCTAAGGTATTGACACGACAAGACAGCAGACAGCTCAGTGTCCACACCTTTCTACTCCTTGGGAACTGGTTGGGCCAAGAAACCTCCAGCTGTGTTTGTCATGTGAATTGTCACTCTAAATGGAAGTGGCTTCCAGCTCCTGTTACACTTTCAGTCAATGACTACATGGCAGCTGTGAGCTGATGGTGGTAGATTGCTCTCCTGCTGCTACCCAGTTTCTTGTTGGTTCCCATACACTTAAAATTGAAGTTCCAGACTCACATTTCTTGGTAGCTTGTGTCAACAATGTGATCCTGAGCATTAAATCATCCAAATACATGTACCATTGCCATTACTGCAGAAGAGTATTGAGATATTTGCAGAGGAAGTCAGTGTTACTTTTAAGTGAGGTCAATGGCAGTGTCTTTGTTCCAAGATGCACTGTAATTATGGCACAGTGCACAGATTTTCTGAGTAGTGATCCTGTATTCTGTTAGCCTCAAAAGAGTCATGTGCTTATCACTGCTTAGTATAGGTGGATTGGTACCTCAAAATTGCTGTGCCCATTTTAAGGGCATTTTTCAGGTTAATTATTATTTTCTATTTTATTCATCCAGTATTTTAACATTTTTATTACTTCATTTTCACAACAAAATGCTGTTAGCTGAGGTAGATTCATTAGAAAAGGTTACTCTACTGTTAATTATGCCCTGCATTGTGTCTGCTTGGCACTTTCTTAGCCCCTTGCCCCATTACTATTGTGACTGGTGGGACTCTATTCCAAAGATGTAGCCTGAAGACTCAAATTCTGAATATAAAGAGGAATTTGAAGAGTATTTCTAGGAGGGATGCTTGAATGACAGGGATATCTCTTGCTCCGTAGAAGTTCTTTCAAGTTTTACTATACTGCTTGGTACATTCTTTGTGCTATCAGATCAAAATATGTATTTGCTCTTAATTACTGTAAATGGCGTACTCAGAAAATGATAAACATGAAATTCCGCTTTGGGAGTCATTGTTCCAAACTATCCAACTTGGAGAAATGGAAATTTGTACTTTTGCTACTCAATCTGCTTGCCTGTGTGTAAGCAAATACTCTGAAATTGCTTTAAGAATATCAGCTAATGAACTTGCTTCACACCTAAATCTGAAAAATTACTTTTTTCCCCTGCTGTGAAACACACACATTTCCTACATAAATAGGAAGAATTACCAGTTGTAGGAGGAAACCAGTTGTAGGTGTTTAAGGCCAGGCTGGATGTGGCCTTGGGCAACCTGGTCTAGTGGAAGGTGTCCCTGCCTATGGCAGGGGGGGTGGAACTCGGTGATCTTCAAGGTCCCTTCCAACCTAAACCATTCTATGATTCTATGAAACTGAAGAAGTTTTGCTTCTTTAATAATGATGGTTTGAGGAGATGGTAGACACTTCATTATACTTTTAAATATGAATTAACATATGACTTAGTAGTTTTGAAGTAGTCACAAAGTAGTTTTCTCTTTATTCCCTGTCCCAGATAATTGGTGATTGTTTGAAAGGGGCCTTTTGTTCATAATTTATAAAAAGATAATAAAGTCTGTATGTTTCTTGTAAAGTCTGTACGTTTCTTGTAAAGTCTGTACATTTTGATTTTTCCAACTATTAATGTGCAAATGAATGGGTGGGTTCTGAAAAGCCATTCTTCAGTAATTGTGTTAATGAAAAGTTCTTAGTAGCATCAGACGAGATCATCATTATCAAACTTTCATCAGCAAGAAAAGCTAATGCCCATATAAGTGAACCTTGCCGTGTAGTCCTATTATTTCAGAATTATCCATCACTTAAATCAGAGGACTGGAAACATTGTTGGGGTGGTGAGTTCACTGGCTCTTTTAGAAAGATCTTTTGATACCTTTCCTTGTTTGCTGTGAATCATAAGGACAGAATACTCTTTCTTTTTGGGTGACAAATTAGCCCTTTGGATAAACAGAATAAGGTTTCCTTAGCTGAGGTAGGATGGACAACATTGTAAGGGAGAGTTTTATAGTCATCTGGCCAGAGGGTCAGTATCAATAGCTTTTCTTTTAGCCTGAGTAAAGCCTTAATCGAATCCCAGCAGCTTCTGCAGAAGCACTTGGTGCGGGAATTAGGGAACAAAATGGGCAGTCTTGCTGGCTCATTAGCACATTGTTGTGTGCAGCACTAGTTCAGCTCTGTTGTTTATAGCAGTTATAATGAATGCTTGAATACACTAAAAGGTTTGGTTGTGCTTCTAGGTGAACAGAGCTCCTTTATACTGGATTTGTAAGTGAGGATTATGTAAGCTTCTCCACCTCTGGTTCCAAACATTTAATGTGTCAGACTAGAATTAGAGTACACTTTATATGCATTTTCATTTTTACATCTCCAAAAGGCTAAGAAGAAAATACTGGTAGAAATGGTGATTGTAAAGATGTATTTAGGCTCCCATTTTCTCAGTAAAAATCAGATGGATTTTCAGGCCACATAAAATATAGAAACTGAAGATGTCACTCAAATATGCCTGTACTTAAAGTTGCTATTCTTTCTTCTTGTTTTTGTAGACCCGCTGTAGGATATCACATTGTCACAGATAAAGGATTTAATTTTTCAACAGCAGATGATGCCTTTGTGTGCCAGAAGAAGAATCATTTCCAAATCACAGTCCATATTCGAATCACTGGACATCCAAAATATATCAAAACTCAGCTGGGGGGAAAACCAATAGAAAAGTTTTACTTGAAAGCTTTTGGAATAAAGGCAAGTATTTCTCCTCTTTGTGATTATTACTTTTAATAAGTTAGTATGTGATTATCCACAGAATAAGGTAAATAATTGAAATGAACTCTTCGTGGGTTTGACCAAGAACTGATAAAAGAACACTCTTTTAAGTTACTAGTGACTTATGCGTGGAACCCTTCTGCAAAAAAGTGATGATTTATGGATGCTTGTGCTGATATCTGCTGAAAGACATCATCTTTGCCTGTTTGCCATGGGTTCACTGACTTCCCTCTGTGGACAGAGTACCCATTGGTCCATAAGATGTGTTGAAAAAAAAACAATTTACAAAGCAAAGAAAAAGAATCAAATATGTTTTTTCCAAACAGTTCACATGTAGAAACCCAATGAAATTACCCCATTTCTCTTCCATTTTCATTTTAAGAACCAAATTCTTCCCAGCCAGTATGCATCCACAAGCTTGCATAAACAGTAGTAGAAATTTTAATCTTTCTGAAAGATTTTACCAGTTTTTTTACTTACAACCAAAATTCAGTGATTTAAAAAATCCATGTAGTTGTTTTACAAGGCAGTTACTACCAGTTTTGCTAAATGCATTCTAATGAAGAACAAATTAGTGAATATTACTGTCATCTGTTCCCATCTGAAGCAAAGTGCTGCTTGGTACCATTCCAGAAAGGTACAGAAATTTTACATTAAAATAACTTATAGAACTACCTTGCATAGGTTGAGTTCTTGTGTTGAATAGCTACATTTATGCTTTGGGATAGAATGAGCCCATAACAGTCTAGATTCAGAAAGCAATTTTTCTTTTGAAAATTAATGCATGACTTCTCATTTTTTTTTTCCCTTTCAAATTATATCCACAGAATGATTTGGGGCTTCAGACTAGCTGGAACACAGCACTGTCAGGTGTCAAGTGATCAGGAGTCTATTCCTATGTTACTTTCTATACAGTTTTCTACTGTTTCAGACACAATTTGCCTATTAATTTCTATTGCAAATTTTATGTTTGAAAATGTAATATTCTTGTTATTTTTGAAAATTCTTTTTTCTTTATAGGTGGAAGCTCCAAATCAAACAGTTGCTATTGAACAGTCTCAGTCAGATCGAAGCAAAAAAACTTTCCAGCCCGTTAAGTAAGAATTTTGAGAAATTTATTCTATTTTATGTCAATACTTGATTGGTCAGAAATGTGAAGTAGTTGTTCCTTGGAAACTTGTAGCAGCTCTAAGCCAGTCTTCTGATCTTAATCCAAATTCCATTCTGGGTGTGCACATAGAATCACAGTAGTAATATATACCTGGTCTGCTTTCATTAACAAAAATTTTCAGCAGCTGTACAAATGTTTTAAGTGTGCCTATCCAAAATATCTATATTCAGCTAGCATCACTGTTGTACGGTGTTTAGAGCTGTGTGGCAGATGCATTTCCCATCTTAAGAAATGTCAGTAATACTCCTGTTCTACATGGGCATGAGATCTATTTGCAGTGCTTTTAAGGGGGAGTGCCTCTGCTAGAAACATACGTGCAGCTTCTTCCTGGAATTTTCTGCCATTCTTCTGCATCTTAACTCACTGGCAGAATCAATGTTTGTTCTTCTGGCATAAGTATCTTCTGTTGGAGCTGTTCTGTTCTCTAGAAATAATTGAAAAAAAACTTAAACCAGGAAAAGATAAGACAGCGTCAGGTTTGACAGGACAGTGCCAGCATAAAGGCTGCAGTATATAATCTGCAAAAATGAACTTTGAGCTTGGGAGAAGAGCTTGATTTTCACTTAATTACCTCTATCATGGCATTTGTCTTCATTTTGCATACTGAAGAATAAATTATGGGTGTAAATTGTTTCATGGGTGATGATGGTGTAGTTTTCATTTGTACCAGATAAGAATGCTGAGAGTGGACTGTTGTTTTCTCTATGCAAACTCTTTATTCATATTATTTATCTCTTGCAGAAGCAGTATGTATTTGAGACATAGGTCTATATTTTATAATTCTAGACATAAAAATTAGGTGCAGGTGAAAAAAGGGACAAGCAGTAAAAATTACTTATTTTAATGTGGGAATTCAGATCCAGTAATAAGCAATGTTACCCTTGGCAAGCAACAAATACCCATCGTATGGAACACATAGTTTTATTACATTAAAGACTGTGTACAAACAGAGCAAGAAACACAAGACTACTATTACTAAGAACAGTCTCCCACTGCTGTTGCTTTATCCTGTTTGTTTATCTCCTTGACATAGTCACTGTGTTTTTAATGCATTTTTATAAAGCAGGGTTACTGCATTTTTACTGGGGTTCCTCTGTTTTTTCATTTGTCAGTTTTTCTCAAAACTGTTTTAATGAGTTTGAGGAAACATGGCTTGAGCCACGTAGATCTCCAAGTGCTTATTTCTCTGATCTTGTTTTCTTTTCTGTTTTAGAGTTGATCTGCCAGGGGACCAGGTAACTAAAGTAACACTGGGAAGGTTGCACTTCAGTGAAACAACAGCAAATAATATGAGAAAAAAGGGGAAACCTAATCCTGATCAGAGGTATTGCTGTAGCTAGTTGGCCTGTGTGTGTGAAGTGGGAAAGAGGAGGTCTGCTTTAGAATGGAGCTGATGTTTGTGAAAAATCTCAGCATTGCCAAATCCTGTGATTTTTTAAATTTCAAATTCTGTGATACTTGGTATCTGCTTACAGGCCTCTCTTCTAGAGTCACAGAATGATGTGAGAATAAAAGAAAATATATCATCCTCATGGTTAGAGATTGTTTCAGGAAATCACAGCTAGAATGTTGGCTGATGAAATCAGGCAGCCAAAAAAACCAAATAATGATCATTTTCTTTTGGGGAAGGAAGGGTCTTCATCTTTGAGTCTTCCTAAATTAAACTTGTCAAAATTACTGTAATCTTTGTTCATTTGCAGTGATTGTGGGGCTTGAAAGAGCATATTACTTGAGAGTGAAGGAAATATTTTTTCTTTCATATTGTAACTTAAATATATTTTTAAAAATGTTCTGGCTATCTTTTTATGTATCAGTAATAGCAGTTGCATTTAAAACATTTTTTTTTTCTGTGAGAAGACATTACTTCAGTTATTATCTTGATTAAATCAATTTTAAATTAGATACTTCATGCTGGTAGTTGGACTGTATGCTGTCTCTCAGGACCAATTCTACCTACTGTCTGCAAATGTCTCTGAAAAGATCATTGTGAGGGTAGGTAGAAATTTATATTGCTTTCATGTGAAAAGTATTTACAAAACTGTTTTGATATACACAGGAGACTATGGGGGGTGGTTCTTGGGCATAAAAATTATCATTGAATCAAAAAGATTGAGGAACAAAAAATTACAGTTGCATATTGTATGAGTATGTTGTTATCTTTTAATTACTGGGATTTTAAAACGTTAAAAGTAGAGCTGTAGAAGAATTCAAACAAAAGCTTGTTGTGAATTCCAATACAAAATATGTTGATTCTTCCAGATTGCTTTTTCTTTGAGCTGAAACAATTTCGTGCACTCGCCAGGAATTTGGTAAACACTTTCATTGGCTAGATGCTTCATTTTCAAAGCAGGATGAGAATGAAAAAAAGTGCAAGGAAAGAAGGTCGAGCAGCTCTAGGAAGATTAAGACCCATAGCTGCCCCTTTCCAGTGTGTTTTCAGATCGTCCCAGCTCTTAATTTCGTGGTTGTAATACAGATTTCAAAATAGAAAAATGAAGAATTGGTCTCTCTTCCTCATGACCATTGTTATTCAGTCTGATACGCAAAAAGTTTTCCTTTTAGTATTCAGCTTTAGCCTACAGTTAGAATTAGACTTGGAAGAGAGAAAACCTCAGAGCTCTATTGTAACAGGAGGGTTAGGATTTAGGAGAGAGATGAAGTGTAGAGCCCCAACGTGAGTGCGGTTGCGAGGGGGCTGCCAAAAGCTTTCAGTCCTGGTGCGTTTTCTGTGTGACCGATAGCTGATGGTTAATGTTTGAACTGGGCATAGTCTAGGGTATGGGAAACACATGTGCCATGTGGTGGGGCTGCCAAGGATGGTGAGGGCCTCTGGAAGATTGCAGTCCAGCAAACTTTGTCATGTGGGCCAATCAAGGAGCTTCTTGTTTGCACGGAGTCTTTCTAGGCCTCGACGTACGGCAAGGGATAGGCTCAGCGTTTTGTTTTGGAGTCGAGTAAGACCAAGAGCTCTAGTGTAATAAATGGGGCTGGGAAGGGGCTTCCAAAGAAAGGTGAGGGCTGTCAAGAGCTTTTAGTCCTAGCATCACTTTTTGTAGGCCATTGCTTGGGTCCTTTCTAATGGCTACGCTTATGATTCCAGCCTGGTTTAGTATTAGGGTTTGGAGAGAGCAAAAGTGCAAATCCCCAGTATGTGCAATGTTGCACAGGGGCTGCCAAAGGAAGACGAGGGCTTTCCGATGGGTTCAGTCCTGGCTCCTTTTTTGTCTGGGCCATAACTTCGTGTCCTCTTGTGCCATAAACCCTCTTCCTGCAGTTACGGTTAGGTTTTTGGAAGGCAATATGGCCGAGAGCTCCTTTCTGGGTGGAGCTGCAAAAGGGATTTGAAAGCAGTGTTTGGAATTCAGTAGTTTTCTGCCCTGCTGAGAAGTTTTATCATCCTGGCTGTGGCTGTGGGTTTTTTTATTTCAGGACACCGAAGCATTGTGTTTGTGTCAATTCTGTATATTTAATTTTCGGTTTTTGTCCATTAGTTTCCAGAATACTGCTTTCATCTGAATTTCTCTTTCTGCATCTAGCAGTGTTACAAATATCATCTCTTTACTAATTTGGGAAAACTGTTGAGTTGTCACATTTGACTCATCCTTGGGATTATTGTTACCTTATAAGATATGTATTTTTATGTAAGATTTAGAAATTTACATTTTTCTACTGTTTTTAACGTTAGATTCTTTTGAAATTTTAATAAAAAGAGCTCCTTCAATGTGAGTGAGACAGTTTTTTAATAGGAATCCAGGGAATGAGATTTTGCAAACCTGGCCACTATTCCAGACAAAGAAAAAAGAAGGCAGAAAAGCAGAAGGATCAAGAGGCTGTGATTTGATGTGGTGAAAACATCAACAGGAAAGCTGAAAAGAAAAAAAAGTCATTTTCCATATGTCTGACAGGGCTTCAGTGGCAGGGGACAGTGAGCCAGCCACTGGCTACCTTAAAGTGGCAAAGCTGTGCAAACGCACTGCGAGAGAGAGCAACTTATGTTCTGGCCCTTTATACACTCAAACATAACATAACAAAACTACCAGCTGAGTAGTGGTTATCAGGCATATCAGATCATGCTCTAATTGTGGCAAACAGGGATAAGTGCACAGCACCATGCCTTGTAGTTGGCAAAGCATTGTGAAAGCCTGGCTTCTTTAAATGAGTACAAACTTTTTATTGCAATCATACTTTGTTCAGACTCCAATTTTAAAGCCTGAATTCAAAGATTAAAAAAAAAAAAAAAGAACAAAATTAATTACTAAAATCAAATGCCATTTCTAATTATACACACTCCATTGCTTTTTTGGTGTTCTTTGAAAGACCTTGTTTCCTTGACATGAAATTTCTGAGTTCATTTTAAACATTACAGAGGATTTTATGAACCACGTGCGTTTAATCTCTGCCTTGTTTGCTCCTTTCTGATTTCCAGTCTCAGCTAAAATTTGTTGGTAAATAAATGGTTACATGGCATAATGTCAAAGTTAAAATTTGGAAAGCTTTGGACATTGAATTCAAGGGAAAAAGCAATGAGGCCAATGCTGTATGAGTAGAAACAGTTACTTAGAAGTGACTCCACTCTGATTTTTTTCTGTTGGTGTGTTAGAAAAGCTCTTGAATACAATTTCAATATTAAAGATTTGGCACTTCATTCTCCCTGAATTCCTGATGGAATAAGCAATAGTACATCTATGCTATACTGTATCTTTAAACATAATATTTTTTTCTTCCAGGCATCTAACCCAGGGCAGTTTGAGAATGACAGTGATGTACTGTGGCAGCGAGGACATGTTCCAGAGACGATAGTCTATCATGGTCGAGTAGGAATTAACACAGATGCACCAGACGAAGCACTGGTTGTCTGTGGAAATGCAAAAGTTATGGGCAGAGTCATGCACCCATCTGACAGCCGAGCAAAACAGAATATCCGGGAGGTGAGGGCTGTGCAGTATTTAGGGCATTTACGTTTGCACCACAGCACATGTGTGGATCATTGTTCTGACATGCGAAGCAGCTTCTTTATCCTGGGTGTGCTGAAATGCTGTCCTAAAGAAATCGGTGTACTGCTGTGCTCTGTAGAGCCACCGCCTATGGACTTTGGAAGAGGCTGTCCATAGAAGCTGGGGATATCTACGTAAATGGGAGTTGTCAGAATGAAGAGTAGCTGGCAATACAAATACAAATAACACTCTGTTAATGGGGAATGGGAAAAATGTCCATATTTTTTGATACAAAGATTGGCCAAGTGGCCGTGTCAGGCTTGTTGCTATCTCACTGAAGTCCTAGATGCCATGACCACTCGCAATGTTTCAACATATGAATCTTGGTATTTGTCCAACTAGGTTGATACGAATGAGCAGTTGAGAAGAATAACACAAATGAGGCTGGTGGAGTATGACTACAAGCCTGAATTTGCATCTGTTATGGGGATAAAAAATACCCATGAAACAGGTATTCAGTCAGCTCTGTTCCCATTTTTCATTAACTTCCGCTCTTGTTCATTGTACTATACTGCCTTTTAACAACCTGCTATTTCATCCTCATTTCTTAGGATACTATAATTACACACTTTTCTGTGTTTCTCTTGTGATATAAAAATGCCAAAATTAAGTATTTCTGGTAATTTTCCCACTTCTGTTTCAATTTTTAAAGGTAGAAGGTTATTTTTACAGAGTTTTAATGAAAATGAAGTATGTGATCACAAACATTTTTTTTCTTATTGCAGAGAAATGGGAATTCTAAAAGTTTCTGCTTGTTTTCTGTGGAATGGGGAAAAAAAAAAAAAAGTGAAATCCTGGATTTTTTTCTACCACAGAGAAATTCTAGATCATGTTTGGCCCTACCTGTAGCTTTTAGGATGGTCAACTCAAAGTACACAACCATGGTCAATAATATTCCACTGTGTTTCCTGACTTTATGTTATCTTGTGAACAGGAATAATAGCCCAGGAAGTGAAGGAGCTTTTGCCTCAAGCTGTTAGAGAAGTTGGAGATGTTTCTTGTAATGATGGAGAAAAAATAGAAAACTTCCTCATGGTTGACAAGGTATGGTCTTGTAAGAGAAAGTGGGTGCGTGTATTTAGACTGTTCCTTTCATCTATGGAGCTATAAACACACGCTATGCTTAATACAAAGCTGTAGGCCTCCACATGTATTTACAAAAATAGTGTTTGGCAAATCATTCAGAAAAACTGAACCACCAGGTGTTAGTAAATGGCTGAATCTTTTAATGACAAAAAGTATTTACATTAACATCTCATTATAATAATAAATAAACATACAATAAAAGAGAAAAGAAAAAAACCCTAACTTTACTGAATAAAGGTGGATAGCAATTTCATAGCATTGGTCCAACAAGGGGGACTCCAAAAGATTCTTTTGTGTTTAAGTTAATTAAGTGCTCTAATGGTGAATTAAGCAATGATGGCATTCTATTTGTTAAATAAAAGCTTCCTTAATTTAATCCTGGTATAATCACTTCATACCATATACAAATGCTAACTCTCTGTCCTCTGTGGGAAGGTTTGTTTGGCCATCTGAAATCCTTATTATAGCTTCAAAATAATATACTATAAAAAGTTTGTGGCACACAAAGTAATTACCATGCCCATAGGTTGGAAACAATGCCTTAGTCTGTTCTCCTGTGCTCTCTTCCCCTACTTTTGCTGTAGAAATAGGACTGTAAGGGACTGTCAGTCACAGAGTCCAGTCACACATGACTGCAGACAGCGCTTGTCCACAACATTGCTCAGAGTGGCCCCTCTGTTGTGCACTGGTTCACTGCAGGTCAAGGACTACTTCCCAGGTGTTTTTTTTTTTCCCCTGCTTACAGCTGATAATGGGAAGAGGGAGGTTTTACAGATTGGTAACCTTGTTTTGTCTGGATGATGTCATGGGCATGATCCTGTGTTCATGATAATCATGCATTCCTTCATTATTCTATAGAAAACACAAGCTTACACCATGAAAGTTGGAGAAAATATCTATAAAAATACTGTATTTCACTTGTCTTTTTACAGGCTACAAATAAGTTACATTCATAGGTTAAATTTCCTAGGCTGTATTCCATATAAAGGAAGCATGAATTAGACACTTTGAATAATGCTGTGGAAAGAGCACTTTCTAGCAATACTGTTGAAAATGAGACTTGTAGAAAATTTGCTGTATTTGGTCATGGTTCCAGCCTGTAGCTGATTTCTAGATGCTCATAGAAGAGCAGTGGTGTCACTATCTGTCAGATAGTGACACCAGGTTCGTTTTGCCCTTTAGCCCTTCCTGTTACATTGTGTGGCAGCTGTATTTGCATTTTTGAGCTCCCCCACAAAACTGCTTTGGGGTAGTCTTTTTTTTTTTTTTTTTTTTTCAGACAAAACTTTTAGGTTGAACAATTGAGCATTTGATTTAGTGGAAAAAAAATGCTCAAAAATGTGTCTAATGGAAATATCACTTTTTGCTGAAACATCAAGCAAAATGCTGTCTGTAACAGTGCCTCACAGCACTGCTGTTTGAGCCCATCACCTTCCCTTTCTCCTCTGTACTTGGATTTCTGGACAGTGCTTGCCAGGATGTGCTCCAGGGATGTGACCTAGCAAAGGGAGAAAGCCT